GGGTTGGTTCTTGTAAATTTACTATTTGGTGAAACCCTGCTGTTGGGCGGGCATGAAGTGCTTTATATATACGTTGTTATACGTCCCATTCAAGTCCCATTACTCAGTCAAGACCTCGTCGGTTGCGGGTTGCGAAGAGAAAGGTATGGATGCGGTCGTGCGTGTCGATGTTACTGTAACGAGTAGACCTGTCAAAGAAGCTTGCGAAGGACCGAACTACACGTACGAGCTGGATGAGTTACTTGTTGGATGGTACTCAAAAGCTGCACTCGAGCTGGGGTCTAAGCCGCAGGAAATGTCTGCCCATGCGCGCAGAGATTCGCGTACCACGCGCCCAACTGGGACCTGCAAACACCCACACTGATACCCGGACGATCGGACCGAACCCGAGGGCGGGTCAATGATGCGCGCATCCTGTATCGCGACGTGCTCCCGACGGCGACCGCACCGCGGTGCTCGCCCGCATGCACGATGACCACGAACCCGAACCACGTTCTAATGACCCGTAACCGGGGCACCCACAACCCATCCGCGTCCCTATCCTCGCCCACCGAGACGCACGCCGCAGCGGCCGGCATATTCCGCTCTACTGGCTCTCCGCCCTGGTATCTCGAGACGGGCAGCGACGATGCTATATCAGAATTATCTACCGACGAAGGATGCGAGCCTATTGAAGTTGATCCTGCGTTTACGTTGCGCTCTGAGTTGCCGGGCACTGTCAAGGTCGTTGTGGAGGCTACGACGTTCTGGGTGCATAAGGAGATATTGTGGTTCGCGAGCCCGTTCTTCCAGGCTGCGTTATCGGGAGACTGGGCGGAGACGAATGCGAGCGGGGGGCATAGGCCGACGAGCATGAACAGCGTTATTACGATCTCGCAGCCGCCGAGTGTACCCGGGCAGGATCATGGGATTGGGGAGACGGAGATACAGTTTGCGAGGCCGGACGAGTTGAGCTCGGATGAATATTTCGACGCGGATACTACGACGGACGATGGAGGGGAGAGTGCGAGCGAGAGTGTGAAGGAGGGGCCTGCGTCGAGTGTTACGCTTCGAGTGGACGAAGCGGACGATAAGGAGGGCGAGAGGGGGAAGGAGGCGGCTAGGTTGGAGAGTCTGGATAAGCTCGAGGGTGGTGGGGATGATAAGGATAAGGGGAAGGAGCCGGCGTATAAGGCGAAGAAGAAGGATACGGTTAAGCTTAGTTGGAAGAAGGGCACGACTGGTGCGGCTGTGCGCAGGCTTCGCAAGAGCCAGGTGCCCTCGGCTGTTATCGTGCTCAGAGAAGAGAAGGTACGTGTGTCGACTTGAATCCCAAATAGAAGTGACTCTGATCATGCTAGGCTAGTACCTTCCACGACTTCCTACGCTTCGTATATCCCGGGTAAGCTTGACAGCTTCATGCTTCCCCCTCGCGTGGCACGTGTGGCTCACACGCTCGCCTCCCAGAACGGAATGCACCATCACATGGAACAACGTTGAAGGGCTCATGAACATCGGCCATAAACTCGTCGTGCCCTCCCTTACGCGCATATGCCTCAACTTCTTGTTGACTCATGCAGCCGGGCGTCCCATCAAAGCGATGCGCATTGCGGAGTTGTTTGAAGAGGAGGAGCTGTACCGCGAAGGGTCGAGGTTCGTTTTGGACAATCCTGGTGGATGGCCAGAACAGGAGATGAGCACGTTAAGCCCGGAGACGCTATTGAAGCTTGAGAAACGGTACGTTGTCGTGTTCGTTGTGTGACGGCGAATGATGGGATACTGACGCGAGAAGGCGAACATGGTTCCTCGAGCGCGTACTAAAGCTCGGGCTGGTTCAGATCGCGAAGGAGTACGAATGCGTGCGTACTTAGCCAACTTCGCTTTTCATGCTGCACCACTGACGATGGGCCTCTAGTGCTCTTCATGCCCCGATCAGTCCAGTTGCGCCCGGCTGGTCGAGGAGAAATGGCGACAAGCCTACCAAGCCGTTTTCCGCTTTGGGCCATGTCAACCCAGCATGGTCTTCCGCTACCTCCGCTCACTCGAGGGTGTCTCCCCTCCATTGGCCCTCACGCACCTATCCTGCCAAATGACGGCCAAAGCCTTTGTCGCAACGCTCTTCGATCGCATGTTCTCACTAGGAGTGAGAGGTAGCGGTACGGACACCGCACCGCTTGGCGCACGCGTCGCGGCGGTGGCGGGTGTGGCGAGCGCAACGCTGCCGAGGAGACATTTCCTGTATTGCTCGCTCAAGCCGGAGCAGCCGGCGCCCGCGAGGAATAGGCAAAGGGATACGATCAGCGTGCCGAGGAGGGACATCACTTGAGGATGAGGCGCGTGGTTGAGGGTCGAGATGTTGAGATGAGAGCTAGGCTCAGCTGGAGGTTCGAACTCGGAGGTTCGGTGGACTGCGCGGTCCGATCTGTGTGTATAGTGACCTTGTGCTACTCATTGTGCTATAGAGTTTCAGGTTAATGGCATCTACTTTCTTGCCTATGCGCAGATGGAATGGACAAGCGCACGGTCGGCAACGATCGCACGTTGGTGCGCTCGAGGACGACGGCCGGCGGGTCCAGCGTCTAAAGACGGAACGGCGACTGATCGAAGCGCGGCGACTTGCGATACTTCCTGTTTCTGACACATATCCGAAGCGACTCTGTGCATCGAGACGGCCATCGTTTGCCGACACGGCGCGTGTAGCATTGAAATACTGCTGCATTGTTACGCGCGTTCAATGGCGCTGGCCGGCGGGTTCAGCGCTTAGAAACGGAACGACGACTGCGAGAAGCTTATTCTTGCATCGAACCGGACATGGCTTGCCGAGGAAGCGTATGCACCACTGTATACTTTTGCGCGGTGAACAGCGGGACATTGTGATCTGGAATCGAGGCGTAGACGGCGCGCGCAGTCGGCATCATACCTTCCTTGTGCTTTCGGGCGTCCAAGTGGCAGCCGAGTGACATGCTTTCCGTGCCGTGGGCCGTCCAGCATCGCCTTGAATAGAGTGAGCAGAGTTGACCTCCCGCTATTATATTCAGAGTACTGACCGCGTGATACCTTCGGGCAGGGTGAAATGTACACCGTGCCTAGTTTAGGTTACGATACAACGTCGTTTGCTCACATCGGTGAATTGTGTGTACGGCCTCTGCCGACGGGATCATCAACGCCATCACGCTGTCTCGCGTCTGCCAGGGATGTGCGCCGAGCTCTGTCATCCTCAACATTCTCGGATCGCCCATTTCCTCTCGCTTCTCAACGGCGACGTCGCGAAGCGACATCAGCCCTGGGCCTGATCATCATCTCTCTTTGGGTTTTCGAGCGCATTGTTCGACGACTAAAGCATCACGAGCGCGCGAGGACGTGCTCACAGCATCACACTGCGCATCAAGGCTGCCGTTGGACGCTTTGACTTGCAACCCCCGCTGACCCGCGATGTGTCGCGTAGAGCATGTGCTCTGTGGCGAGACCTGCTGTCGTTGCGAGTTGTCTGGCTCAGTTGGGCCTTGTTCAGGGCATCGTGGGCCCTGTGGCAGATGTGTGCGTCTCGATTGAGTCTCAACTTGATGTCGGGCTGACGTCTGTTCACCGTCTAGGTTGTCTATGAAAAGAACAGCGATATTGTGCTCTCGCTATCATCCCGGTATACCTGCAGACGAGCAAACCTTCGAGGTCCATGATGGACCTGCGGCTCGGGCGTTTCCTTATGGAGATGGTCTATGCAGACGCGCCTAAGGACCTTCTTGTTTGACAATGTCTGTTTTAATGACGAGGCGCGGAACGTTAACGGCAGTCAGGTCTACTCGGAACTGCTCGGACAGTAGACTCCGTGATGGTTCGAGTACGGTCCTTCTGCGCACCGCGTCAGAGGCGGTTTGACTGGTATCGAGCCGCATGGAACAGGCAGACCTTGATGCGTGGTCCATACGGCATACCTTTCTGCCATGATGGGTATAAAGGTTGGCTGTATGCTGCGAGGATATAGCATCAGCTCTACAGCTCTTCTTCTACAACACACTTACTCGCCATGTTCAAGTCCGCTGTCCTTTCGCTCGCGCTCGTCGCCGGCTCGGCCTCTGCCATCACCATCAAGTTCGTCAACCAGTGCTCGTACACTGTCTGGCCCGCTGTACGTATTTCGATCCTCGTTGCATACTCTATACTGACAGAGGCTGAAGGTCGGTGCCGCACCCTACGGCAGCCCGGACAGCTCTATTGCGTACGGTACCACCCTCGGCGCTGGTGGCTCTGCCAGCTTCGCGGTCTCTGACACCGCCATCGTGCGTCTATTCCTCTAAACTGCACCCCTCAACGCTGACTTCTGTACACCAGGGCATTCGCTCTTGGGGTCGTACTGGCTGTGACGGCTCTGGCGCAAACTGCGCAACTGGTGCTTGCAACGGCGGCCTTGTCTGCAACGACGCCGGTATCACCTCCGGTGTCATCCTCGGCGAGTACGGCTACGGTGACTTCGGCTCCTGCTGTGGTGGCCAGAGGACTTCGGTATGTTACTTCTACTGCTTCAGAGTGAGCGGTACGACTAATTCCGTATGTAGTGGGACTTGAGCATCGTCTCTGCCTCCTTGAACATCCCCACCAAGCTCACCTCTTCCGACGGCCAGAGCGTGCAATGCACTGGCACGCCGTGCGACGCCTCGCAGGTGTACACCTACACTGACGACTACGCCGCGGACCGCAACTCCGCTCTCGGCCAGACCTACACGCACACTTTCTGCCCTTGAGCAGTTAGTATGCCCCGGACGAAAAGTTAGGACTATCTATGGGTATAATCATGATGGACTTTGCAGAGAGCTTTTGGGATTCATAGCACGTGTATTTCATTGGCTCTATGTGTTTCTCGGTACTATACGCATGCAGCAAGAAGTTGCTTTTGTATTGAACTGGGATGAACTTGATGAGATACGCTACAAGTCGCAGGATAACTGTCAGTCGGGCTCGCGCCCGACTTGTCACCGACCACGCGAGCCTCGTGTGCTGCGGCGTTCGGATCAGCGATCCGAGGCCGCGACAAACCGTGATACCACCCCTTGCTCTTGGACCTTGCCACGACGTCCACAGTACGACGTGAGTATCACTTCAAATGATATATGCAGCCTATGTCTTTTTCCGTTCTTGCGCGGGTAGCCCTGTCATGAATCAGTTGGCCAAACAACCAAGCTGGCCGTCGAACCCGGAGCCATCATCCTGCCCGCCGGCCGGATGCTCAACAGGTCAGGGCACAGGGCAAATACGGCTGGCCAGTCGAGATCGGTAGATATTGGATCCTGCAAGGCCAGACCTTCCATCTCGGACATATATCTTGCCTCTCGAACCCACTGATACAACTTCTCAACACTCACGTACACTGCCTAGATGGATTGGTATAAGGAGCTTGCCAGCCTGCCAACATTCTCAAGCGCCGAATTCCTCCCGGGTCAAGGTGAGCCTTTCATCGCGCCGTAGTGCGCGCAAAGTCAGCTTATGGACGGTTTGACAGCGATCTCGGTCACTTCATCGACACAGGACTTCACTCGCAACACCAAACGCACGGCCGCGCGTACCATCTTTCCGCTTCCAGATGGAGGCATCGCGTCGGGGCCCACCCTGGATATATCGCCCGAAGTGAAGCTCAGCTATCGCTCGTGCTCCGGGGATGTCAAGGCTATATTTCGCGAGGCCGGTGCCGGCGAGTCCAAGAAGCGCTACATCGAGGTGTGGACTGGCGATGCATTAATCGCGTCTATCGAGGCCACGGAGGCTCACGACGCCTTTTACACGGATGGTACGGTCTTGCAATACGGTTGCACATTATTTCTGACGCTGGTATACAGACTTCATGGGCTCTATATCGTTCTCTCCTTCCGAGAATTCGATCGTGTATCTCGCGGAGGCCAAGGCACCCAAGGCGACTGACGACGACCCTCTCGCCAAGTTCCGCTATACACCACATCTAGGAGAGATGCTCACGGATAGGAAGCGCCCAACTATCTTCGTTGCTCGCTGGGACGTAGAAGGCGGCAAGCCGTCAATCTATCCCCTCGAGATCGCCGAGGACGTCCGTGCGAAGATCCCACATATGATCAGCAACCCGCGCTTTTTCGATGAACGCACGCTCGTTGCCATCGGTCATGAGCTCACGCCGTCCGGACAGCTGCCAAGCGTGCGGTGGTGTCACAATAGGCCTACGCAGGTCTACAAGCTCTCCCTGACTACAACTCGGCCCGAAGACTCACCTTACGAAGTGTTGTCAGTCTCCGATGCAACTAGTCTATCGAACCCGAAGAAGGCGGCGCGCTCTCCGCGAGTGCTCAAAGGCAAAGATGGGAATCACGCTAGCCTATTCTGGCTCGAGCACGAGCGCAACGGTCCTCATGCTTCGTGCTCGCGCCTTGTTCATTGGCGCGCAGACGGTCATTCCGCTCGAACTCTAGTGAACTACGTCTCCGCTCCGTCGAAAGACGAGTTCAAGGGTCTCTTTGTGGGCTGGGCCTTGCCCACACGTCCATTCGTCAAGTTCGATGGCAAGACGTATCTCATCTGCACGGCGAACTCTGGAGCTCGCACAACTGTATTGTTGATCGACGCGGAACATACAGGCGACGTATATGATCTTACACCCGCGGACGACGCACTCTACAGCTGGAGTATACTGGGAACAGACGAGAGGGATAGGGTTGTCGCTGTCCGTAGCAGTCCCACTAAGCCGCAAGAGGTGGTTTTAGGAACATTCTCGCGGATTGGTAAAGAAGACCCTGAAGTGACTTGGTCACCACTCTGGAAGCCTGTCATACCGTCTCACAGTATGTTTCTGAACTCATCTACAAGCGGCGGCGGAATGTGACTGACCTTTCTTCAGTCAAGAATGCTCTACACGATCTGAAGGCCGACATCGTTCCTCTTATATACCCTGTTGAAACAATCGTTCTCGAGTCAAGCAAGCCGGACAAGGACGGGCCACGACCACTCGTCTCTATCATTCACGGCGGGCCTCATGGCTCAAGCATGACTTCCTTCTCCACATTTGCGGCTGCGCTTGTGCTCTCGGGGTGTGCGTATCGCCGACCTCTGAGAACCTATGCTCGGGTATTGATGAGTGTATTGATCCAGATGCTGTCTCTCAACCCAACTATACCGGTTCGTCCGGCTACGGCGGCGCTCATGTCTCCGCACTCGTCGGTAAATGCGGCTCGCTCGACGTTCAAGACTGCGTGGACAGCGTCAATAAGCTGGCTGAGCTGGGTAAAGCTTCACTGGGTCCTGGGAAGCAATACATCTACGGAGGCTCCCACGGTGGCTTCCTAGGCGCCCATCGTACGTTTCTGATCGCCGAATCTTGAAGGTAACCGAGCTCATCGCAAACAACAGTCGTCGGCCAGCACCCTGACCTGTTCTCCGGTGCTGTGCTCTCCAATCCCGTCATCACCCCGCTTCCTAGCGAGAGCGACATCCCCGACTGGTACTTCGCCGAGTTCCTCAAGGACTTACCGTCGGCATTGGACCAGTCCGAACTGGCCCCGGCTCTCTATGAGAAGCTCTTCCCTATGACGCCGATTGCACATGTGCGGAATGTCAAGGCGCGCGTCCGGCTGCTGCTTGGATTGGAGGATCATCGCGTCAGCAACAACCATGGAATGGCGTTCTATGGCGCGCTCAAGGCTCAGGGCAAGGACGTGGACATCCTCACGTTCCCTGGGTACGCGCATGGCATTGATGGTGTTGAGGAGACTGCTGTATGGGTCAAGGCGGCCCTGGAGGTGTTTGGGTACAAGGCTCAATGAGCGGAAGGTATTATATTAACGTTGGGCGCATAAAAAGCATGTTGTAACAAGAGTCCGACGAATTTGTCAATGTACAGATAGCGTATGCAGATAGCAAAAGAGCGACGAGAAATCCACGATGCAAATTCACTCCGGTGGTAAAGGGGGAAGGTCTCGCTCAACAATGAGAGGCAATTCCTGTAGTGCTGCGAGTCCTGTGAAAGTTGCGACCCCTCTCCTTCTCATAGAGCGTTCGTCCACAGAAAGTGTTCGCTTGCGAGCCAGACCGGCCTGCTGGGCTTCCGCAAAAGAGGTCGGAGTCGCAAGAGAGGCTGTAGCGGGAACGGGCTGCGGTATGCCCGGCAGTTCGCGTCGTATTGTGTGCGCTCGTCCAAGTTGTGCGGGCTCTTGCCGCGGTGTCCCCGACGTCCATCCCGACGATACAGTAGCATTTGATTGAGTGCGCTGTAGAGCTTGCGCTCCGTGGCGGGGAGATCGAGACCAAAATAGCGAAGCTGAACGGGGGGTGCGAGGTCCATCCTCCGTAGCAGCTGTTGACCATGTCGTCGCGCTCGTTTTGCTGCGTGCAAGACCGGGACGATCCGCGGTGGGCGGTAAAGGCAGTGCGCGGAAGTGTTTAGCCGTGTGTGGGGAGCCGAGGTCTCCGGGAGATGGGGGAGGGGACGGCTGCCATTGAGCGGGAGCCTCCAGCGACGACCAAGGCGAAGGGAGCAACTCGATCGGGGTAGAGAAAGTGCGAGCCGGCTGAGGACTAGATTGAGGTGATAGTAACGGCGACGTGTTGGCAGACGAGCCAGAAATGCTGAGGGAAGGAGCGGATGATACGTCGGATGCCGTGCTGGTGGGTCGTTCACGAATCGGAGGTAGAGGGAGCGGACGAACACGGGAGGATGGGGATGGTGTCCGCTCGCCCGTAGTAGTCCACTCGGGTCTGTCCGGTTTGAAAGACGTTGGTCCGTGCATCTCGAGAGGCTCCATAACGTATGCATACATGCTCTGCACTTGCCGGTGTCTGGGGAGTGATGGCGCATGAAGCTGGATAGAAGGAGGGTGCCGATCAGGGGAGTGAATGGTCTGAACTGGTCGGTCGAGCTCAAAATCTGCAAGGGCAGGTGCATGAATAAGTGCCTGGTCACACAGCGGTAGAAGAGTACGCACATCCCAGTCTTCTACTTACAGCGCTTGAGGGTGTTCTCACATCGCTCGGCGAGTCGAGCATCACTGGCGCCTAGTCAACCACCGGTATTTGCCCTACACAATCTACAAGGCGCACCTGATGACGACAAAGGCGTTGGCGGTTCTGCAGGGCCGTGAAAGAGATGATCGAAACCCAGGGCCTGAGGACTGGACATGGACCTCTCGCATTTGCAGCTTATCGAGCAACTACAAGACATGGTGCCGACGCGCCCTCGGGGCGCAAGAATAAGAATACGTGGAAGTGCCAGAGTGGCGGCGAAGGCGGAAGAATCAAAAGGCATCAAGTAGGCAGAGGATGATATATGCAATCGGCTGCACCATCCGCACCGGATGAGCGAATGATGGATTGTCAGGGCCTCGACGAGAGTGAATGTGCCCGCCGATCGAGGCGATGTGACGGGGAGGATGCTCCGAGAAATAAAACTTGTAGCGTAAGTAAAGTTGACCGCACAGGCCGACGGAGGCGCAGCCTCCAGTTGGTAGAGTACACAAGCGAAGCTGAAGGGAGACTGGTCTGATATGGGGTGTTAGGACTTTAAGTAGGGCCGCCAAGGCGTAAGCATCAGAGCAGGGTCGACCCGCTGGCCCAGTCATCCCTGGCAGTGGAACGCCGGAGTGTTACCCGACTGAAGTATCACCTCGAACACCATCTTGATTGAAGGGCATTCCTATCTTCTATCGATGCCTGAGGTGGGGTTACCAGACGCGAAGGGAAGGGCTAGTGAGAAAGCATCAGCCCGTATAGAGATAGATCCCTGGAGAAAGAGTGTGAAGGCTGAGACGAGGCACAGCCGTCGGCAACGAGGCTCGCGAATATGGGCATTCGTCGATCTCCGATCACGGCCGGGGATATGAGCGGGCTGCGCGTACAGTCGCTCAACAGGCGCCATCATTTTGATTGGGTTGGGCCCCTTCGTATTCGTGCTCGTCTGCTCTCGGCTGTATGATATTTTCTAGATGCTGTAGGGAGTGGGTTCTGCTATGAACTCTCTATCAGGTCATTGCCATGATGAGTCGAACGTGCCCGGTGTAGCGAGCAGAGCTCACCATTTGTTGGCATCAGGTTGCAACTGGTTGCAATGGACGAATTGACCCTTGTTAGGCGCTCATCGTGAGCCTGAACCTCTGCGAATAGGTCTTGCGCGGGCACCACTCTGAGGGCATCTGTGTCTGCCCCTGCTAGACGTCTAGACGATACCCGCACAGATAGGAGGCAGAACAATGGCACCATGCGTTATTGCCGCTTACAGAAGATGAACAACTGTAGGGTGAATAATGCTCGGAGTACTTCAACCACCGCCATACCCGTAGAGAGAATCGCCGTTCACCGACGCGCCACGCTATATCGCACAGCCGGTCAAATCGCCACGGGGACCATGTACGTATGTGCCGATACGCCCGGCAGATGGTATAGAACGCGCTGATATGAGCACTTGGGTGCATCGCGCCTTCCTGTCATGTTCCTGCTTGAATGGGTTGCAGGATAGTTCGCCAGTCGTGGGGTCCCCAAGTCGTGGTGCGGGAAGTGTAGCCGATTGGCCCAAGTTCCCTCGCAGGCAGAATCCGGCAAATTCACATCGTTTCAAGTATGTATAGCGAAAAAGTGGGGTGTCGTCAGACATGCAAAGCAATGTGTGCAGCAAATACAGCGATAATGCGGTGATTAGATCTATGAAGTTAGTAGTATATGTACGAATGAAGGCGAGTTCCCCAAAGTCATCCCGAGTCGCCAGACTATGAGCTGGGCGGAGGCGGGTTGTTGGGTGTTGCGCCTGGTACGTCGGCTGTAGGCGGCGGTACGGTGGGCTCCTCGCCGGCTTTGAGCTCCGCTTCGATACGTTCTCGTGCCCGTACGACTTTCGACTGGACGTAGATGGAGTGTGCGGGTGGTGGTGGTGCTTGCTTCGAGCCAGCTGCCGGTTTCGCTGCAGCTTTCTTCGCCGGTTGTGGTGAGTTGGCTTTGAATAGGTGCTCGTAATGCTGCAAGCTAGTAAGTAGAGTGCAAAACGATACAAAGTTAGGAGAAGTGCGGACCTTCATGACGTTCTCCATCGGGTCCCCGCGCTTCACGTTCAAGATGAGATGAGCCTCGTCGAGCGTCATCCGGTGTTCTCGTGTGAGACGGTCAGTGAGCGAGCCAGATGTTGCATTTTGTACGCCTCCAACGTCAGAGCTCAACGCTGCCGGTGTCGCTTTCGCGTCTAATTATCAAGATGAGTATGAATAGTCTATTATGGGTCATGCCGAAAACGTACTTTTGAGCGCTTGCTTTCCAGCAGCTGCGAAAGCCTTGCCGAGAATGGCAGACCCGGAGATGACAATTTGAATTATAGCTCTTGGTGACGACTACACAGTTGTAAGTATATATTCGTCGAGAGTAAGGTTATAAGACGCACCATGATCCGGGGGCTCGTGGACGAACGGGGAAGAGATGCGGTGACGCGGGAGACGCGACCTGTCGGCGACGCGCTTCGGAGCGCTCGGACCGGTCAGCCGAATTCATCCAAAATTGTTCAACGCGACTTGTCCGCCACCAACTCTTGACCCTGCCTGAGCTACACTCTTCCTTCTGAAATGCCACAAAGTCACGCGCCGAAACGTAAGGCAGTGGAGAGTCCACAACACATACGCAAGAAGCCTCGCGTAGATGGACCTGCGACGGAATTCAGGACTGTTAGTGCATCGGTCGTCCTTTCACTTCCGCCGGTGTTTGCGGCGAGGTATCGGGAGGGAGCAGAGGAGATGTTGGATTCGATGGTCATGAGGTATGTATTCTTTCTATTTCTTATATACCCCTAGACCAACGGTGAATAAACGACCAGCCCGTTAATAGGTATCAGCCGGCATTGGGAGGGGTAGTGCTTGCACATCAAAACCTTCGATTCTTGTCCTCCGCCGGTCGAATAAAGTCGGACAATCCATTTGCTGTCGTCAATGTTGGCTTTGATGCCACGGTTTGGAGACCTGAAATTGGGATGCGATTGAGTATGTCTTATGGGAATGTATGACCTCCAGGACGCGAAGCTGATGCAGTTTATAGCGGGTAACGTGAGCTTAAGCTCTCCGGACCACGTCTCGCTACTCGTACATCGCACTTTCAACGTCTCAATACCGCGCCATCACATACCTACGGAAAACTGGGAGTTCGAGTATGGTCCTGCGGAGAATGACCCGGAGTACGGCACGAAGCCTGAAGGCGAGGCTCCAGTCGAGGGTCAGGAAGGCGAAGAGCCCGCAGACCGAGGGCAGTGGATACACAGCGTCACTGCTGAACCTCTCGGCGGTCGTAAGGGGCGACTTGAATTCACAGTGGTCGGGTACGGATACGTTCATACTTCGGCGAATGATGGGATCAACACTCACCTACGCCATAGATTGACGATTGCCAACAACATGCTCTCATTGGTTGGATCCTTACAGCCCGATCCATTCTCCCCGCGTCACGTTCCTCAACCCGCAGCACTGTCCACAGCGCCAGTGGCCGTCTCGGATGACGAAGATGATGAACCAGACGAGGCCGAGGAGAAGGCAGAAAGCGGTAGCGATGATGAGGACGATGAGGCGGCGGCTGTGGCTGCAGCAGCGAGAGCCGAAGCAGAACGCAAAGAGGCGAAACGCAGGAGAAAAGAAGAGAAGGCGAAAGAGCGGGAAGAGGAAGAGGCGAAGACGGCGAAGACTACCAAGCGTAAGAAGACCACTTGATCCTATGCTTGCTGCGCTACCTGTTCAGGGCTTGTTGTGTTGTTGTACCGCTATAGGCTATATTATATTGACATCCATTCAATTTCTGCGTTTGCTTGTAACAGTGCGGCTAGCGTTGTTCCGCACTCAATACCGTGAGACGTGTAGTCTCGGAGGCTTGCTACGTACCATCGCGAACTTATCCTTGGGGGATTCCGTGAGGTTTTGATACCCAACAATACCCAAAGTTGCTGGAGGAGCGTGTGACTGAATGCGCGCGACGCGTCAAGGCTGCAGGCGCGCGCGCGGTGACGCGCCTGGATCAACGCGTCTTGCCTCTCAACTTCGTTGACCATGTCCAGCCAACCACAGAATCAAACTCAGTCACAGCCGAAGAGGAGAGCTGGTACGGCAGATTATCACGTGTGCGCGTAATGTGTCATAACACCTCTCAGGACCGTCGCGTACGATCAAGGGCTACCTCATCCTGTATAACCTCGTTTCCGCGGCAGCATGGGCCAACGTCCTCTACCAAACTGCACTCTATCTGTCCAAGTCATCCTCAACATTAACGAGCCTGACGACCTCGGCGCCATCATGGCTTCCCCCATCAGTAGCACCGTACTGGAAACATGCTACAGGCACGTACGGTGCCGTTGGCGAACTCACTAAATGGGTGCAGACCGGCGCAGCGCTTGAGGTGTTGCACTCCTTACTCGGCTTCGTGCGGTCCCCAGTGCAAACGACAGCAGCGCAAGTTGCAAGCAGGCTGTACCTTGTGTGGGCTATCGCCGACCGATTCGCTTCCGTACGTACCCCATCCCCAACCATCAAACACGCTCTATTATCCTGACATATCGCGCTGTCTCAGGCTCAATCCTCGCCCTACTTCGCAACAATGGTTTTGTCCTGGTCCATCACCGAAAGCATACGTTATCCCTTCTACGCCCTCGGCCTGCTGGGGTCCGAACCTCGCTTCTTGCTTTGGCTGCGTTACACGACTTTCTACGTCCTCTATCCGACTGGCGCCGGGTCTGAGGCGCTTGTTTGCCTAGCAACACTGCCTTTCAACAAGCCCATCACCAAATGGGACTTTTGGTCGTACGCGCGGGGTGGACTTGTCTTATTTTGGGTGCCTGGTAAGCTGGTTCTGTAGTCATGTCGACACGGCACTGTTGGGCTGACTCTCTACTAGCTCTCTATGTGATGTACATGCACATGGTTGCGCAGAGGCGCAAGATATTCGGCCCGGGTGCGAAGGCGAAGACAGCTTGAACAGGAGCGTGTATATCATCTAATAATGTCAGAATTAATGTTGCCATCTACATCGTGTTGCTCACAGTCACGTTCTCGCATGACCCGAAAGGCACGCATACATGGGTATATGGGTAGGTATGGTACAAGTCTCAGACCACTTCATCGGAACCTGCGTGAGACAGATCTCTCTTCTTATCCTTGAGCTCGAATGTCTCCCTTCGAGCTGAACTCGGCGCTACGGTCTCTGACAGCTGAGAGGAGCCTGTAGTACGCCCTCCCATGCTCAAAGGAACAGCGAACTGCAAAGCACCCGTGGGCGGGTTGAGGGTGTGTTCCAACACCGATCGGCGCGTTGTCACGAGCACGACTACCAGAGTGGGATACATGGCCTGCCCGCGTGTCAGATATTGTCTCCCATGATATGACCTGCGTTAGGCTGCTTACAGAAAGAGGGGACATGTAGAAGTTGGACCAGAAGAAGCCGTCTGAGCGGTCGAGGGATCCGACGTCGTTGTATACGGCGTATATGATCCAGATGGCGGTGTACACCACTCCGCTCTCGACGAGCATGGCCATCATTGCCAGGCTTCTGTTTGACTCTGAGGTGCGTACGAAGGCCCTTATCTCTTGCCAATGCAGCCTGAGTGTATGTTAGTGTCCATGTGAAGGCGCAAAGTGCAGCCACCTACCATGCTCTCCATCCGATGAGTACGGTCGAAATGACAAGAACCGCCGCAGTGAACGCAGTCGCGATGGACTGTACTACCATGACCGCGATCCAGTCGTTTGATTCGACTATCTTCTGTATGGAAGGCGCCACGCTCGGCAGTCTTGTCGCAGAATTCAGGATTAGGTTGAGGATATAGAGTCCTGCCGCATTGGTGAGCATCAGAGCCACGTACACGATCGGGAGGCTTACCCGCTTCGATTAGCAAGATGACAATTGACAAAACGAGGAGCCATCGGGGACGGCCAAGTATGGCATATGCTCGCCATAAAGAGATGCAGTCAGAGATAAACCACTTCGGCGCATGTTTAGCCCTAATCTACGCCCTGCATGGCAAATATACGCACGATGAACCTGAGGATGACGACCTGGGCGAAGAAGATTGCGCCGTTCAAGTCCGTGAGTACCGCTTCGTAGTCGTCCACTTGAGCTGTGGACAATTGTAACGGCAGAAAGCAGTATACGTCGTTCCATAGGATGGCGATATCGAGCGCCCAGGACACCATCGCCAAAGCGTAGGCACAAAGAGCCAAAGCCAGCATCGGCTTAACCAACGGCTTATTGCGCGCGGAGTACCTGTGAACTGTGTCATGATCCACGCCTTGTCCATGAGGAGCAAGACTCACCAACGCTGCCAAACAAAGTATACCGTCAGGACCGTGAAGAAAGCTGAGAGGATCGGGCACATTCGGTCAGAAGCTGTCTATCGTACTCTCAAAACATGCGGAGTATGCGCACCCATTAACGCCGTCTCGAGCAGGATAGGAAAGACGCGGGCGTCTGCGATCTCTTTCAGCTGCGCAGCGGCAGCCTCTAGGTGTGCCGCGGAAACATTCGACGGCATGCCTGCATTGGCCTGCGAACCACCAGACCTGGTCAATAGTGATGGGCAAGCGGCAGTAGAGCGGCGCAAACGACTTATAAGGCAGATGCGCTGTAAGGAGCGCCGAGGACTCATTAGTCTACATAGCTCCGACTTGAGTTCAGATCTAACGGTGCCGCCGAGACCAACAGGTGGCAAACTTGCTATTCATCGAAGATCCATTGGAATCAGGCGTGCAGGGCGCTATTCGGTTATCCAATGCAATTGCAGTGCATGTGCGCCGGGCGAGGGACATATAGCTCGCGAGACGTTACGGGTGCGCGCATAGGTGGCCGACCGGGGTTATCAAACCGCATAACAATTGATGGGCCCGGTTATCAAATCGCCCCGATGATGACGGCTGCTTTCCGG